AATGACAAAATGTGCCTTTTAAGGTTAATCAAAGAACTTTAGTGGCATTTAGTTGTTCCTAACTAAACAAATCAAACCTGCAGACAATCCATCTTCATCTAAAAACAGAATACAAGGCGTTGAAACAGGAAGAGGAAGCTCCAATGAGATCTCACCTCCTCCCTTCCTAAAAAATATTTTACATTTCCTCCCCAGCTAGTCCCAGAGCTGCACAAGGTCAGATGCACATTTAAGTGGCCCCATTGACTTGGCTGGAGGAGATATTCTGATGGTGTACGTGCAGCCTAGGAGAACAGAGACAAATTATTTTGGCAGTTAATTTTTGTTTGAAAATAATAACTTCACTGAAATAATCTGTTGCTGCTTTATTCTCACTTTCTTGATCTAAAATGTCAATTAGCAGTTGTACAGCTTCTCAGACTAAAAAACCCTCATACCAAAAACATTTTCAATTTCAAAGAGTACAAATGAGATTGTCAATTTTTTTCTTAAAATATTAAAGCTTCAAAACCTGGCACAGATTTATACTTTTCAACATTAATACACCCTGCTCTGTACTCTGTTCACAATTCCTGGAGATTCTCCAAGGAAAATAATACATTATTACTGGCTGGAATGGGTATACATTCACTCCTGCAGTGAGGCAGCTGGGAAATATTACTTGCAGTAATTAACCCCTTAAGGTGCATTGAAGGCAATAGTAGAGACCAGGTTTTAGACTGTGATTTACAGATTGAAGATCCTTCATATTCGTGCATTTCTCCACCACCCCTTCCAACATTTTTTTGCTGCAGTGAAAGTTTTTCAGCAAAGGACCACAGATAAAAGTGCGTGTGGGGGGGTGGGGGCACATTACAAAATAACATTTTTATAATTACCGTCAAGTTGAGGGAGTGATTTTGTGGACAATGACTGATGCGGCAGCCATTTTGTTCATAGTAAGATTTATGAGCAACAGCAATTTGGTGAATTGACTAAGTTAAATGGAGGATTATTGAACAGGACACTGGGAGAAATTCCTCTTTTCAAAAGTGACAACGGATTTTTAAAGTGAACCTGAAGAACAAGGAAGTAGGACTTTGATCTAACCAAAGGATGATAACAAAGCAGTATTCCCCCAGTACTGCACTGGGGTATCAGCCCACAGTGTGAGCTCAGCTACCTATGTGGAACTTGACCCGCCTACCATCCACAACTCACTATTCTGACCGAGTGGCAAGAGGGTTATCAACTGAGTCAAACCATAAATTTAATCACTTAGTCAACATCTTTGACAAAGTACTAATAGGATTTTCAACACTAAAATGCAGTAAATGCCATCCCATACCTCATTCCAAATATGCACCACTACAAACTTCATAATTCTGAAATCACCTCTTCTCAATAGTCATTTCCTCAACAAACTAAAATACTTCCATTACCCCTCCAAAACCATCGTGTAAAGTTAATATAAAGTTAGTAGATATCTCAACATGAAAATGCACCTACAATAAACCAACTACTAAATATATGAAGACAGCTATGAAACCTATTTAGCCTTTAAATGCACGTATCACTATACTACAAGAAATGCATTGTTATACATCTGAAATACAGTATCACATTTACAATCCTGACAGGTTGACATTAAACACATCTGTAAAAAAATGTATTTTTCGATTATTTTACTAATGAGCGCTGAACTCACACAGGACAGGGCCACCAAGTTATAAGGCGCCCTGGTGTAGAACAGTGTACTGTGGACTCCCTGTGATCCATGCAGCTTCCACTTTTCTGGACATCAGGTTGCCACCAAAAAAAAAGGCAGCATTGCTGATCTCACTTGGTGCACAGGAAGTGACACTGCAGCGCTTCCTTCACATGGTGACCAACAGGGTCAGCAATGGCAATCCAATGACCTGGAAGGTGCCTCTTTGTTCACACTTTGTTGAGAGGTGAAGGGATCTGAAGTTACGGACCCAGACCAGCCACGAACAGGGTGGTCTGTACAAACCGATATAAGTGTTCGGCAATCACCAGAATAGAATAATGGCAAAATAACTTTGCTGCGTGATTCGACCAGCGATTGCTACAGCCAGAAACAATAGCAATACAAAGAGAAAAACCGCAGCTAACAGCACAGTAGTTTTACATTGGCTGCTTGGTTTACGTATTTAAATTAAAGAAAATATGGAAATTAACAAAACATTTACAGAGTTCTACAAAATATATATGGGGGTCCATCAGTTATAAGGAGACAGAACCTTAAAATGAAGTTATAACTGGTTAGGATAAAACAAGATGAGGAAAAAAATATTCTCATAGAGAGGGCAATACAAATCTGGAATCTAATACTCCAAAATAGACAGACAAGAAATCAATTGAGAGGGACTTAACTTGGGAGGATAAAAATATTAAAGGGCATAACGTGGTTTGGAAAGGTTTGTGGTATATGGGTCGCGGAATGGTCTCTGGTGGAAGAGGCGGGAAAGAATAAATGGCTATTTTCTGTTACCAAAACTTAAAAAGCCTTTCACACAAAAGAATGCCTCGGTGTGCTTCACGAAAGCAGCGGCGGGGACCCCAAACAAGGAAGCAAACATTTTAGAAGGAAGGGGAAATGCCTCAAGAGAAAAACTTCGCTTAAAAAAAAAATTGGGTCATTTTCAATCTACGACTGTTTGTGGGACATTGCTGTGCGCAATTGGCTGCCGCGTTCGCCCACAAATATACAGTCAATTCACTTTACAGTGTGTTCTGTGAAGCGCTTTGGGACGTCCTCCCGACGTGAAAAGCGCTATATCAAATGCAAGGATTATTATTATTATTAGTATTATTATAAAACAGTGCACCTAAAAGGATGTCCTTCCGAGCATCAGAAATCTGATCCACAATTGCACTTGGAAGCCACATGCCTTAGCAACCGGCCATGTGTGAAAAAAAATCACTGCAGTGTGTTTACATCCCGATACAGTGAATCGAAGGACTTTATTTTTATTTTTTTAAAAAAAGGGTCTACTTTCAAAGGCTTAGAAACAGTGGGGGGTTTTGGTAAACAAAAAGGAGGGACGTGTCGAGATATTCTATCGACCGAATCTCTTTGTTTCCCCCCCAACCCACCGCCCTCCCCAAATAAAATTCCTCTCTTCCCCTTTGGAAAAACAACAGCTGTTCGTTCGTTCCTGAGGCCCGAAAAAAAATCTCTCGAATCGCAGCCCCACCACATAGGGAGGGAGAGGGGGGAGGGAGAGAGAGAGCGAAATGTTACTCCAGCAACAGCCCCACCGCGAACGGAGGAAATCAAGACGTTGCGATTTACCATTTTTATTTCCTCACGGAACCGAAGGTTAGAGACGGGGGCGAAGCCTTGAGGCAATGGGTAAAATAAAATCCCAGACACAGTCCTGGGGGCCTTCCTCCCCACCCACCCCCTCCACCCCACCACCCACCCCCCTCCCTCACCCCTCCGCGGATGTCTTCACTAAATCACCCCTCACAACACCCACGTTTGCCGCTCAAAAACCAGACGAAGGCACAATAATAACCAGACGGTTTGAAACCCAACGCAACGCTCGGCATTTCTGTGTAGTGGTGGTGGGGGGAGAGGGGGGAGAGGGGAGAGAGGGAGAAAGGATACGAACGAACTCTTCCCAACGAGAGAGAGAGAGAGAAAATAAAAGTACGAACGACACAGTACACAGGACGGGTTTTCCGGGCCTGTGTCTGGGGGGTTATAAGGCAATGTGCCGGTGAGGTGAGGGGAAGGGGGCGACTTCCCGGGGCCTCGTCGGCGCTGTTGGGGAAGGAAACGGCGAGAAATTAAGCGCTATTCGCCCGCCCGCCCTCCCGAACAAGACCTCGGCCTGGTCCCTGCACAGTAAAGCGAGGGAAGGGGTTGGATATGGGGGGGGAGAGGGAGAGGGAAGGCCTCGTCTCTCGTGTCGGCTTCGGCTCACGCGCTCTCGGTAGCCGCCCGCGTGGCGGCAGTTCAGCAGCAAAGGCCTCGCCCGCTCGGCTCGGCCTTTCGGTGACATCTAACCTCTTGAGGAGAGGCTTCTCGCCGGCGGGGCCGGGGAGCGGGTCAAACCCGGGGTTATATCCACCGTGCGGCGTCCGAACCCGAGCAGCCCCTCTCACTCAGGGCCCAGTCGACCCCACCTTCGCGGGCCCAGGACCCCAGGTCCTTCACCACCAACACTACTACCCCGGGGACTCACTCACTGTCCCGCCTCCCCCGGGTTCGCTGCTAGTTTGAAGCCGAGCCGTAGGCCGCTCGGTTTACAGGTCTGGCCGCGCCGCCGCCGCTGCTGCTGCTGAGGGGCTGTGGGACACGGCGTCGGTGTGAGATGTTCGCGGGGGCCGCGCGGTGCTGTTGGCCCGGGGTGGGTGTGAGGGGGAGGATCCGGGCTCGGTGTCCGGAGCAGTTGCTCCGGAAGGGGGTGGGAGTCCGTGTCAGAGAGAGACACGAGGCCTGGGGGTCGCCTGCGGTGTCTCTGGGCTGGTCTGTGGGGGATACACGGGGCCGGGAGGTGTCTCGGGGCCGCGGGTGTGGGGGGTACACGGGGCCGGGGGTGTGGGGGGTACACGGGGCCGGGGGTGTGGGGGGTACACGGGGCCGGGGGTGTGGGGGGTACACGGGGCCGCGGGGTGTGGGGGGTACACGGGGCCGCGGGGTGTGGGGGGTACACGGGGCCGCGGGGTGTGGGGGTACACGGGGCCGCGGGGTGTGGGAAGGGGGGTGTCTCGGGGCCGCGGGGTGTGTGTAGGGGGTGTCTCGGGGCCGCGGGGTGTGTGTAGGGGGTGTCTCGGGGCCGCGGGGTGTGTGTAGGGGGTGTCTCGGGGCCGCGGGGTGTGTGTAGGGGGTGTCTCGGGGCCGCGGGGTGTGTGTAGGGGGTGTCTCGGGGCCGCGGGGTGTGTGTAGGGGGTGTCTCGGGGCCGCGGGGTGTGTGTAGGGGGTGTCTCGGGGCCGCGGGGTGTGTGTAGGGGGTGTCTCGGGGCCGCGGGCCCGGACGCTCCGTTACCTGCAGCTTCTCTTTTTTTTACTGTCTGACAAAGCGGTCGCTCACGTGACCCCTTCAAATCCGCGCCGCCATCTTGTCTCGCTGACGTCACGCCGCGGGCCGGGCCGGGCTGCCCCTGGTCCCCGACCAACGTCGTCGGGGGGTTGGGCGGGTTTTCACACCCAATTGGGCGGGTTTTGTTGTGGCGCGTTCGGAAAAAAACGGCCAATTTTTTAAAATTGTGACCTAAATCTGCAAAAGGTTTATTTCCCCTCCGAATTGGAAGATCTTTTCGGACGGTTTCGAAAACACTAACGTAAATTAGCCACTCCGCCACCTCAGTGAGGAGGCGCTGCACTGGATTTGGGCTACTTTTGGGGCTACTTTTTGGTGGGCTTTGGGCTACGGACGTTTATTTTAATTTCCGAAGAGGGTGTAAAACACTTTGCGGCGACGGACGGCTCCGATCTTATCTCTTTTTTTTTGGTGATGAGTTTACTTGTATATGTATATATATATCAAAAAAAAACCGAAGAAAATTTGCTTTTGTTTTAAGAGATCGGGGAAAGGGTTCGCGCCGCCGTCCGTGACGTTGATTCGTGCGCCGTTGCCCGTGGTTACCGTGGCTTTGATTGACAGGGGCGGGAGGGGGAGGGGGGGAAGATGGCCAAGTGCTGATGGCCTTTGTGGATGTGGAAAAAACACTCTGCACTGTATTTAATGCTAATAATAATCCTGGCATTTGATAGAGCGCCTTATCACGTCTTCGAGTCCTGTAGCTTTGCCAGCGAGAGACCCGGGTTCAATCCCGGGCAGGTCAGGGCGAGACCTTGGGCCAGTTTCCTTACTCCACACACAGCCTAATAATAATCCCTCCGAAAAAAAAACCATAATAAATTGGTCATTTTCAAGCCACGACTGTTTTGTGGGACATTGCTGTGCGCAATTGGCTGCCGCGTTCGCCCACAAAATATACAGTCAATTCACTTTACAGCATATTCTGTGAAGCGCTTTGAGACGTCTCAAATCTATATCAAATGCGAGGGTTATTATTATTATTACCATCCTGCTAGTTGCATGCTACAATAATGTAGATGTTGATAGCAATTTATTCTACATGGATTAGTCTGTAGTCTGTAGCTCAGTGATTAGAGCGCTCGCTCGCAAGCGAGAGACCTGGGTTAGATTCCCGGCCGGGTGAAATGTTGGGTAAGTTTCCTTACTCCACACGCCTCTGTTTACGTAACAGCAAATAGGAACCCAGTTGTTAGTCGATTGGTGGGTCATTTTTCTGGAGGTAATTCCTTCCAAAATAATAATTTGGTCACTCAAACCACGACTGTTTGTGGGCACTGCTGTGCGCAATTGACTGCTGCATTTCACCCACAAAATAAATAGTTAATTCACTTCACAGTATATTCGGTGAAGTGCTTTGAGCAATCCGCCAATCAAAGATATAAGGCATTATATCAAAAACAAGGATTATTATATTATGTGAAGCCATGATCACTCCCTCTTACAATTGCATGTCGGTCTAGGTGCTTCATTATTGCTCCTTAAGGCGATCTTTTAATGCTCTCCCTATACGTGAAGTCAGACTCTCCAGCCTGCAGTTACCCAGGTTATCTCTTTGCCTCTTTTAGTAAAGTCACTTGGTCACTTCAATCTACGACTGTTTGTGGGACAATGCTGTGTGCAATTGATGGCCGCGTTTCGTCCACAAAATATACAGTCAATTCACTTTACAGTATATTCTGTGAAGTGCTTTGGGACGTCTCAAAGACATGATGAGGCGCTACATCAAATGCACTATTATAAAGTGGTATTACATTTGCTACTGCCCAATTCTGAGGCACACGCACGGCTGCCACTTCCAATCAGTCCCTAACCATACCTGTCAGAACATGACCAATTTCCTTAAGCACCCTTCCACTCGATCAAAGTCTGGTGTTTTGACCTTGCCTTGACTTCCTTTCATTTTTTCCTGTCCCTTACCTAGTTATTCATAATATGCACTGTTCTTAGAATCTGCTCATCTTTTCCTAGAAATTCTATTTCCATTTGGTATGGTCTGAGTTTTCCTCTACAAATATGGGCACAAAGAATTCATTTCAAGATATCTACCATCGCTTGGTCATTCAATATTTTGGGTTATTCAGGGATCCTGAGGAATACTACTGTTTCCTTAACCAGATAAGAGTTGGTAGAAGTCTAAACCATAGCACTAATGTTAGAATCCATAAGTAGTGCCATAGGATCTTTAACATCCACCTGAACAGGCAGATTTAAGAACAACTGTTTTCCTGCTTGTGATCAAACAAAATCACGGAGAGAAAAATAAACATAATACATTACGGCTGAATGTAATGTGTTTAAATAATACATTTGATTGGGCCTCCCCTTGTTGAACACAAGAGAATGTAACTGTTCCCAGGTTACTGTGAGAGTTGATTGATGAGCGGAAGCGTTTTGGTGTTGATGTTAACCTCTAAAGCCCCAAGCACCAAACTCAAAAGTCATTTCACCCACACAGAGAATGCCATCATATTTTGCTTTGTAATTTTATAAGCAAAATACAAAGGGTCAACGTGCACATATAATAATTTCACTGTATGTCTCTGATTAGAAAATCGTATTCCTGCAGGCAATTTGAAAACATAAATCAAAACCCTGCCATTTGCTGGAACATTTTGTAAACCTGTCACTTATATTGCCTTGAGGTAAAGCCTCTATCCTTTCATTTGTATAAAATAAAGGGGAGTAAAGTTTCTGAGCGTGCTTTGATGGTGAAATTGGGTCACTTTAAGTTGAGGGGTAATTCCTTCCCCAAATAAGCTACAAAAAAAAGCTCAGCTGGTAAGAGAAACAGAAAGCTGGTGCAATATTATTATTATTATTGTTATTATTATAAGAGCCAAAGACAAAATGTGTAAAACTTTAACCAAAACATAAAGGATACAATGGTCAGTGGTGTGTGTGCATTGGTGGAGGGAAGTGTTGTGAATGTATCTTATAATATGTTAACAGTATTATATTTTAATATATAGAATGTTCTTTCGCCTGAGTGCAATAAAAGTGCAAATTTTACAGTCCAAAATGCTGCAGTTCTATCCTATTTTGGAGTATTTGGCTAAGAGGAAAATAAAACTCTCTGACACTTTGTTACTCAGTATTTTCTTCAAAACATCTGTAAACAAATCTGTTAATGATCTTTCTTTATTCCTGAATGTCAAGAAAAAAATTGAGAATCTTGAAAGAAAAATCCTCTGAAATACAGCAGGTTCAGTCAGTTGTTTGTGAATAATTTTAAATTATTTATAGATCACTTTTGAGTGCAAAGCACAAAATCCAATACTCCCACAACCCCTCCTCCAATAATTATAATACTGATTTCTCCTCTCCCCCTCCAATCTTTCCCAATTTTCTCTCCTCCAGAATTAGGTGACAACACTGAGGTAAGGTTCTACAAGTGCTCTCCAACTTTCAATAACTCATAACTGGTCACTCATCTGGATCTAGATGAGGAGTGCTGTCAAGTGGAGTCCCGTAGCTCAGTGGTTAGAGCATTCGCCTGCAAACAAGACACTTGGGTTCAATTCCAGGCAGGGCAAAACCCTGGGCAAGTTTCCTTACTCCACACGCCTAATGATAATCCCTCCAAAACAAAACAATAATAAATTGGTCATTTTCAATCCATGGCTGTTTGTGGGACACTGCTGTGCGCAATTGGCTGCCGCGTTTCGCCCACAAGTATACAGTCAATTCACTTTACAGTATATTCTGTGAAGCGCTTTGAGATGTCTAGAAGATGTGAAAAACGCTATATCAAATGCAAGGATTATTATTATTATATTATAACCTGGCCAGGTTCGCCCACATAACGCACACTCATTGCACTTTACAGTATATCATTGAAGCATTATCATTGAAGCACAGTATATCATTGAAGCACATCTTCCTAACGTGGAAGGCACTATACCAAATGTAAGGATTTTTATTATTGTTCAATTATGGATCACAATCAAACACATTTCTCTGCCTGCACAATGTCCTAACAATCACATCTTATAGTGGTGATTTTTGTTTACATTTAATGGGAAATATCAAGTTATCACACAATAAGTCAGTTCCAAGTCCAGTAGTATATAGTATACATCAGTGAGAATGTGAGACTTGCAAACAATTAATTACAATCTGGTATCAGTATTTTTATTAACTCAATAACAAGCATCACTTGTTTTTTTTGCTAATTTAAACATTATGACTTCTATGTTCACTAAGGACACAATTCAGGAATAATTCAATTCCAGTACTCATGGTGATCTTTCCTAAATCACATGGTTACAGACCTGGATCTCAGCCACTGTTCAATCCCTACTGATAGATTACTTACCTCCATTTACCCCACCACAAAACCTGAAACATCAGCATTCCATTGCAGCAAAATTAACAAAACTGCAAGACTAGATAGACTGCAGAGGATGTTGCCTTTTAACAGGTCAAAATCGAATAGTGGAATTGTAGGACTGACTGGGTTAATATACTGGAATTGAACTTTGGGAGATCTTAAGTATTTTTACACATGTCTTTTAGGAGATTAAATAAACTTGTAATCGGTGATACAATAGATTAGGTTTGTTTTGCGAAAGGAGAATGCTTGGTGCATTGAATGAATGTCTCTTCAGATTTTTGTAAACACAAGGCAACATAAGGAAGCCCTCACTGTTGTTTGAGTATAATCAAAATATTTAATGTGTGCATGGATGTTGAATGGCAAAAAGTTGTTGCTGTGCAATACCAGGTGATGGCAGTGATCCCAGCAGATGGCAGTTGAGCATTACTTTTCCTCCTTCCTATACATAAAGTTAAACAACTGCAGCAACAACAAAAACAAAATTACATTTGTATAACGCCTTTCACTCAGAAGGACGTCCCAAGGCTCTGGACAGACAGAATTACGGACCCGAGCTGAGGGTCAGGGTGGGAGAGGGGGGAGGGCGGTGGGGGGAAGGTGGTGGGGTGAAGCAGGGAGATCGAAAGCACGGTCAAAGAAGAGGGTCTTGAGGTGGGTCTTGAAGGCGGCGAGGGTGGGGGCGAGACGGAGGCAGTCCGAGATGGAGTTCCAGAGGGT